TAAGTGTGCCCAGGGTTCTGTAGGGAGTTACCCATCTTGTCTCCTCAGCATCCCACACCAGGAAGATGAGAGGTGGAGAGATGTGTTTGTCCTCAGGCACAGAGAAAGCTGGGAAGGGGCAAGGAGGGCAGAGGGTGCTGAACGCCCCCCCATCCTTGGTGACCCCCACCCTTGGCCTTCTGCTGTAGCTGACACCAACTCTCCCTGTTTCCTACTCTTTGGCCTCAGCCCCTTCTTTCCTCCCCATACCCTCCCTTCTCTTTTTGGGGCCCTGGGAGGGGTGGTGCTCAGGTTTGGAAATGGGAGGAAACTGTTAGGGTGTGATTTTTACCTCAAGGGGTTGTGTGAGGTTTTCACACCTGGTGAGGGAGGGGTGTGTGTGTATGTGCATATGGGCAGAGAATCTCTTCCTGCACCCTACTTGGATGCTTTGTGAGTCAGTCAACTTACTGCTCCTCCGTGCGCTTCAGTTTTCTCGTCTGTAAATTGGGAACAGTAATTGATTTTCTCATCTATAAAATGGGAACAGTAATCTTGGCCCTTAATTTTTTAACAAACATTTATTGAACCTGCTATGTACTGCGTACTATTCTAGGAAGTAAGGGCGCAGCGCTGGTGGCCTAGTGGTAAGAAGCTGTGCCGCAACCTCGAAAGCAAGTCTTTTGAATCCACCAGCTGCTCTGAGGGAGAAGGATGGGCAGTCTCCTCCCATGTAATTTGCTACCTCTGAAAACCTGCTGGAGGGTCAGCAATGTTTCTAACTCGATGGCAAACAACAATAACATGAACACAGCCTTGAACAAGATAAAATTTCTGACTAAGAGAAAGTTTATAATCTAGTAGAGGGAGGTAAAGATAGAAAATAAGTAAAGTAGGTTGGTTATTTGAAGTCATAAACATTATGGGAAATTCACACAGGCCTGGAGAACAGAGAGTTGGAGCCAGGAGGCTCCACAAGACTGTAGATCTGGGTTCTTAACCTTGTTTGCACCAGATCTCTCTGAATCTGAAGCCCCTGGACCTTTCTGAGAATAATGTTTTTAAATGCATAGAATGAAATAGTAAAGATTACAGCAAAACTCTATTATATTAAAATAGAGTTTGCATACCACTGAAGGAATTTTACTTTTCAAAGAGAAGAGCAAACTAGAGGGGAGGGGTGGGCAGGGAGAAAAATGCAACAATGAATGAATGGAAATCCAAAATCTCTGTAAACGTTCATTTAAATTAATAAAATAAAATTTAAAAAAAATCTCCTCGGAGAACACGAAACAAAAAAAAAAAAATAGAGTTTGCAAACTGTTAAAAAGCAAAATGGTGATGAATGTGCTGCTTTGTCTGTGCAGTGAACAGCAGGGTCTCTCCAGATGACAACATGCTTTTGAAGTGGTGGCGAACCTAAAAGATATTTAGAGAAAACAGCAACAACTGTAATATGATATGTAAAGGTCTGTGACCTTGGCCGCTGCCAAGGTCACAGGTACTGTTGACGATACCATTGTGTGTGGTTTGCTGGTCACATACTGGAGAGAAACGCTAAATACCAATTACTGATGAGGACAAGAAAAATGTCATTTCTTTCCAGTCTCCAGCTCAGCTGCCATGGCATGCTAACAGATGCCAAGTTAAAAACAGCTACTTTAGTATCAGGTGACCAGGGAGCCTGGCGGAAAGGGGACTTTACAGTGGAGACCTGAAAGTGGTGAGGTGAGAAGCCAGAGCTACAGGGACAAGACTGCTGCTGCTGGGCCCCAGCATCCTTGTCACAGTCCCCTTATATCCTCATCATAGTCACCTGTCTGCGTAAACTTCACATGGGCCAGAATAGTCTGCAGAATCACCTCCTGCCATCCAGGGACCCCAGTAACATCCTGCTGGTTGAAGCTGGGGTGATAATTAAGGGAGCAGGGTAATGCCAGCTCACCCTGGGGACCTCAGAGCAAGGGAAGGCTTTGGAGGTGGGCCAGGAGGATCTCAGGAGAGGGCTACCAAGAGCCACCTGCCTGCTTTTCCTAGATAATGGGCCCTTTCTGTTCCCAGAAAGCATGGACAGTGCCCCTGTGGCCAGAGACTGAGAGGTTGAGTTGTTCTGTTGACTCACACCCCAGGGGCGAAGCCTTTGTATTTCTGTCCCTGCCTCCAGCTCAGGAATTTTCTCCCAGAGAGGTACCAGTGCAGTACAAGGGCCGCAGTTACACCTGATTGTTCATTTAAACTTGCCCTGCTGTTTCAACAGCCATCAGCATTACTTGGTGGGACCCCAGCAACCCTGCTCAGTTACTTCTGTTGTGAGCCTCCTGTTTCCGGGTCTAGAATTTTCAGTTGCTCACTCAACCAACAAATACCCAGACATACAGAGAGAGACATAAGATACAGTTTCTCCCTGAGTTGTCATCTCCTCACTTGCAAATCAGGATGTTGCTAAGAGGTGAGAGGACAGCAGAGGGTTATATTCAGAGCCCCTCCCTTGAGAGGCCATCTTGTACAGGCTGCAGGTACCCGGGTGATAAGGCCCTGAAATCATGGAGCTCCGCTACCTGTAAGTGGCATCTAGAGAGGTGTGGTCAGAGGCAGAGACCCAAGGGGTGAGGTCTGAGGTTGCATACATCAGCAGTCCTCCCATAATCCGCCCCCCCCTACATCATTTGGGTTACAGTATAGAATTGAGAGGTAGGCCAGTGGACCTCTTCTATTTTGAAGAAAAATCCTTTCCTTCTACCATGATAACCAGTAAACCTACAGAAAAATCATAGAATTCAATGTCAAAAGTAAAGAAACCACTGTTGGTTTGTTTCAAGTAAAACAATACCAGCTTTCTGAGTGGAGAAACCAGTCCCAACATAAAAACAACAGAAGAAAGCACCAAGAACTGATGAGAAAGAAAACTGAAAATGCCTGAGAGTTCTGTGTCAGAAAAAGGAAAAGTAAAAGCCAATGAACTGGGGAAACCGAAGCACCACAGACATAGCACAGAAGTGTTAACAGTCACAATCTAGAAGTTTTACAAGTAAAAATTATTCAGGGACGTGAAGGAATAATATGTGTTGGATTTTGATGGATAATACGACATCTAAAAAAGTGTTGATCTTATCAAATGAAAGGCAAGTGAAGTCAGAGTGAGTTTACAAGTCTTTCCAAGTCAAGAGACAGATGAAGTCACAGTGCAGATAGAGAAGTGCCACGTGTTCGGACCCTGTTCTGGTGGCCAAAGCCCTCAGTGCTGGCTCTGGGAGCTTCTCTCCAGATCAGTACCCATAAGTAGTTCTTTGTGGAAACTCTAGTGCAGAGAAATCACCCTGCACTACTCAAGATCTATTCTAAAGAAGTAAGCAGAGGTGCAGACAAAGATTTTCATAAGTAGGTCATTGTCATTGTATTTTAAATAGCAAGAAATTATTCTTTTAACGGATTTTAGGTGGGGTTTTATTTTCCCCCTCAGGAATTTTGAATGGAGACTTCGGAGCCAAATGTAAATCTAAAAATAGAACAGAGTTCTGGAAATAACAGTTATGTCTACAAATTAAACGTCTGCAGCTCCCAAATCATTCCTTTTCCAGCCACAGCTGCGCACACCAATAAGAAATTAGCAACGAATAAGAGATTAGCAACAATGTAAATGCCCAAGAGTAAGTAAATGCTCAAGAGTAAGGAGATGGATGAATAAAAGATGAGACTTCCATGAGTTGAAATAATTTACAGCCATTAAAAATGACGTTTATGAAGAAAGAATTCTAAATGATATGGGGGAGTACTTGTGATATGATGTTAAATGAAAAAAAGTAGAGTACAAAAGCAGAATCTTAGTACCATTGCAACTACGTAAAAATACATACATGCATACCAAGTGGATTGGAAGAGAAAATGCCCAGATATTACCAGTGTTTGTCTCTGGTTAGTGAGCTTCTGCATAATGGTTCTTTGTTAAATCCTTTGTGTTCTCAACATGCTTGAAAAGGCAGACGGTTGGTGAAGGAGAGGAAGACCCTCAACCAGGTGGATTGACACAGTGACTACCCAGTGGATCTAACATGTCAGAAAGTGTGCGGATGGCACAGGATAGAACAGCGTTCAGATCTGTTGTTCATAGGATCACTTTGGGTCATACTCGACTCGATGGCACAGAACAACAGCAACAGCTGTGTTCTCAAAATCTTCTACAGAGACCATTCATAATTTTCAAGAGGGGAGAAAAGTACACCTATTCTTGGCTTCTCACCCCAAAATTGTGAAGGGCAGAGGTTTAACATAAAGAAAGCCTCAGAAGTAGGGAGGAAATACAGGGAGAAAGGTGCAACAATGAATGATTGGAAACCCTAAGTCTGTAAACGTTCATTAAAATTAATTTAAAAAAAGAAGAAGTAGGGAGAAAAGCCAGCTTGGCCAGAAAGCCATGAAGTCGGAGGAAGGTGGTCAGTGTGGTGTTAGACATCCAGGGACCTTTGACTGGCAAACCCAGCAATTTGTTCTTCTCCCAGAGTCCCATCTTCTGTCCAGGTTCTAAGGAGAGAGACCAGCCCCTCCTTGAATGTTAGGGACTTCTAAGGGTGGGGGGTACAATGGGATAATCAGATGCTAAGATTAGTTAAAGGTGTCAACCTCCTCCTTTTATCTCCACCTGCGCAGGGAAGAGTTTCACCCTGACCATTACTGTGTTCACCAACCCCACCCAAGTGGCCACTTACCACCGAGCCATCAAGGTGACTGTGGATGGACCCCGGGAACCCAGACGTAAGTGCTTGAGCCATGGAGCCCCATGGGAGGGGAGGAGGACCCTGTGGGAGAAGGACATCAGCAGAATCTGGCAGCTGGCACCCCGTTCCTGGAGAACCCCTCTGAGAGTGGCCTCCTGCTGGAGTGGCAGTCCTCAGTTCTGTCCCGTCCTCTGCATGCCCCCCCTCCACATACATACAAAGAGTGTGCTTAACAGCAAAGCCGCAGTCCTCTGTGTTTGGCCCAGACTTCCGAAGTCCAGGGAGGAGGCCAGGAGGATGGATGATGGTAGGAACCATGGAGACTATCACAGGACCAGCTTGTTGACAATCCCCACACCCCTCACTCTGATGGCATGACTGCCCCTTAGGAGCCAGCTAGGGGAGTATAGATTTGCATCAGTCAAGGATGAAAAAGGTTTCAGACCTTTCTTGTGTGTGTGTGGTCTGGGTACAGGGCCTGGGAATAAGAGGGAGGAATAGAGTTGGATTGCTCCACTCCACCCCTGCTTCTCCTGCTGGTGGCAGAACAGGGAGCAAGTGAGAGGCTGGAGGTGTCTGGATGGGCTCCGTCCTGGGAAGTCTTCCTTTGAATCTTGATCTCTAGTTGCCTGGGGTCACGTAGGTAGTGAGAAGAATGGAGATGTGAGGAGCCCAGGCACTCTGACTCCAGGGCCAACACAAGGGAGATAAGGAAAGGATACATGATTCAGCAGGCGTTTAATGAGCACCTACATTGGGCAGAGTTATGGTGGCCAATCCTTAGAGATCTGTGGCGCTGCTAATCCAAAGGCCATGGCACTCTGGAAGTTCAAATCAACAATAACTGCTCCGAGGAGGAAAGACTCTCCTCCCCATGCAGTTTACAGACCCAGAAACTCAATAGAGGATCAGCTGCTGGTAGGTTCCAACTCAAAAGCGTTTATTAAGTATGTGTTTTGACTGGTGGAAGCCCTGATCTGTGTGTTTTCGTTTAAAAGGAATTTGTGTTAAATGTCTACTTGCTGGAGTACCTGAAGTTTGCTGCCTTTGATCAAGAATCTGTGGGGGCTGCTGCTGCAGAGTAGACTACCTTTCTGTGGTGAACGAATGAATGAAATACAGAGCCAGCCAGCCAGCTCTGGCCTGGTGGCACCTGAGCTCCGGCTTAGACCCCTTGACTGAACTCTTCCCACCTGTGACCTGCGCAGTCTGTTGTTTTGAGAGCTGTCCTGTCCATCGCTGACCTTGTAATTGAGTCCCCTTTGCCATTTATAAAACTCCATTGTATGTATTATATCTACTGGGAGCCTGGTGACAGCAGAGGCAGGGCCTTCGGTCAGGAAGTGGAAGACCTAGCCCTGGACCTCACACTGAGCACGATCACTGAGGGGGCCTGAGAGGCTCGGAGTGGAGTGTGACTGTGCCAGGACCCTGTCAGTGAGGGCTCCCCAGATGTCCAATTCCTGGCCCTTTCTAGAGTCTGGCCACTTGGGAAAGGCTTGGCACTGGGCCCAGTGGCCCTAGAATAGCGTCCCTCCTAACCTCTGAGTCACTCCCTCCACCTCTCCTGAGCCCATGGTCATCAAAACTGTGGTCATCAGCTCCTGATCAACACCCAGTCTGACAACAATTCCCACTGGGCCTCTCTGCTGGAATCAAACTGGATGGGCCCTCGCTCTAGCCTAGGACTTCATGACCTGAGAAAGCCCTGCCTCTTTTCTGGCCTTAGTTTTGAAGTCCGTAAACTGGACCAGAGACCTGGGCCAACCCTAGGAAGCTCTCGTCCGTAGTGGCTGAGAAACGTCTATGACCCGTTGTTCCGCTTGGGTGTGGAGAACAGGCCCTGAACCAACCTGCCTGGCTGTGGGACCTTGGGAAAATAATTTTGGTTCCTGAGTTCTTTTGTCTGACAATGGATTTACACAAGCAAGGTAACTTGTGGTGCTGTTGTGAGGAGAAAATGTGTTAACCTGTATAAAACACTTCCCTGTATAAAGCAGGAGGCTCTGGTGGCATGGTCTGTAGGGAGTGGTGCTGCTAACGCAAAAGCCAAGCCGTATTTCTCTGGTAGTTTACGTCACAATCCCTAAGGCACACAGTTTGAATCCACCAGTTGTTCCATGGGAGAGGGACGATCAGTCTCCTCCTGTGTGATTAAAAACCTGCTGGAGAGTCAGCTATGGGTCGATGACACACAGCAACCAATAAAAGAGAGGAAGACGTGGCCAGTCTCCTCCTGTGCGATTTACAGCCTCAGAAATTCACAGGAGGTCAGCTGGAAGACAGTTCTGATTCTGCCGCAAACAAGTGAGTGAGTGACGTAAAGAAGGTGCCCATTCACATAGTTATGGTTCTTCCCTTGGACTCGCGGCTGAGGGGGGGTCCTAGTTGGATCCAGGCCACTGTTGTTCCCGCATCTGACTCCTCCCTTTAGTCACACCCTCACCGCTGCTCATTGGTGGGCCTCTCTTGGTCAGCAGCAGTGTGACAGCCAAGGACCCCAGGCCATGCTAACAGAGGCATAGGGTCTCCACTGAGGGGGGTGATGGTCTGGCTCTCCAGAGCTAGAATCAGAATGGACAGGAGCCAGCATGGGGCAAGTGTGAGGGCAGAGTGCCTAGGAGCCACATCAAAAAGCAGAGAGCTGCTGTGCCTTGAGGCATGTGATGGTTGTCTGGTAGAGGGTCAACGGGGCAGGGCTGTGCCTGGCAGCTCTCAGAGTCCTTCGTGTTGGTACAGAGCTGCCTAGGGGACAGGGGGCAGGTGCAGCCCCGCCCTTGGGAACCCACGGAGGAATCCCCTTCCTGTTTTTCTCTCCTGGGTCCCTTCTTGGAGTACGCTGATAGAGGAAGTGGTGGCACAGGACAAGGCCAGAGGGCAAGCAATGAGGCAGCAAGAGAAGGGAGAGGCACCGGGCCGGCCAGAGGCCAGACTTGCCTCATTGCCCAAAGCAGATAGCTGGTGCCACTTTCTGGCCTTGGCACAAACTGGGTCAGTGGTTTGACTTGTTCAAATGAAATCTTCTGCAGAAGTTCATTTTTAGAGCAACTCAGAGGAGTTCCGGGGGAGGTGCTTCTGTGTGTTGCCACCTCTTACGGCAGTGTCTGAAGACCTGTTCACTCCTTCTCTGGTCCTGAGACCAGGTGTGCCTGCATCCTGGGTTCCAGCCCCACCCTGAGCTGTGGTCTGTGACCAGGCCTGTTCCTCCTTCCAGACCTCTGCTTCCCCACCTGTCACAGAACAGGGCAGCGCAGCAGCTGTTGGTCTCTGAGCAGCCTCTGTGTGCATCAGGTCGGTTCCAGCTCATGGCAGCCCTTTATCCAGTTTCCAGGGCTCTAAGTCTTCACAAGAGGAGACTGCTTATCTTCCTCTCTTGGAGCACCTGGTAGCTGCAAGCCTTTAATGTCTCAGCACAATGCATAATACACGGAGTCATCAGAGTGCCTTCCTGTATACCAAGTCCTATGCAGTCTCCATTTATTGATTTAGATCGGCTCCCGAAGGAGCATGAGGTTGGAATGTGCTATGGGGAACTGTGGGGGCAGCGGCCTGGCACTCAGGAAAATGGGAGTCATCTAGAAGAGTCTCAGTGTGCACATCTGTAAAATGGGGAGGATGTTAGCATGTGCTTTGGGGAATTTTTGTATAAGAGCAATGAGTTTATAGCTGCCCAGCCCACAGGAAGTACCCAGAAGCCCTTGTGGAATATAGCCATCCTTGTGAGCACCAGGGAGTGTTTTCCAGGCTTGCCCCTGGCTTTTTGAGGGCCAAGCCTTCTAGGAGGCAGAGTTGGGGTGAGGTTTACTCCCAGAGCCAGGGAAGGGATCACAGATCCCTGAGGCCTGACTGTGGCTTCTGTGGCCAGGTCGTTCCCCTCTGGTGCCCTGCAGAGCGTGCCCGACCTGCAGCCAGGTGGCCGGCTGGCTTTAGTGGCTTCCTGCCTCTGTGGCCTTGGTTTATGAGGTTCTCAGTGCTGGGGACTGAGGGGGAAAGCTAGTTGTCAGACAGCCTCAAAACTGGGGTAAGAGACAGCTCTGTGCCTGGTGATGCTGGCGTAGAGGTGTGAGGGCCCCAAGTCAGCATCCATGGATCAAGGTTCGACACTCAGGAACCCCTGAAAGGGTAGAACGCCACCAGGTTATTAATCCTTCTAAGCCGTCGGATTATTTTTGGCTCATCAACTCCTTTAAGAATCTGAAAGCTATGGACCTTTTCTTCCCAAATTATGCATGGAGCAATGTCAGCAGCTATTTTATTAGGCACCAGCCTTATGTCAGATACTGATCTAGAAGCTGGGGTGCAGCAGTGAACCTAAAATTCCACTTTCTCAAGGCTCACACTCTAAAAATGGGAGAAGTGCTACATACATTTTGTTCTTACCAAGGCCCACAAGACCCTGCTGGTCTATTGCCCATTTCCCCTCTCCCCTTCTCTCTTACCATCTCACCTCAGTTGAAGCTCCCTGGCCTCCTCTCTGGTCATCAGACCTGCCTCAGGGCACTGGCTGTTTCCTCTGCCCAGAAGAGTCTTTCTCCAGACATATCTCCCATCCAGAAGATTATACAGACTCTGTAGGTGAAGTCTTTCCCGGCCCGTCTGTTTGAAGCTGTGCCCACCACTGTCTTAACCTTCCTAACTTGAATTCAGCCCTGCACACCCAGCATCCTCTGATCTGCTCTGTGGTTCACTAGTTTGCTCCCCTAACATCTTGTGTCACGAGAATGGGGGCTTATTTTCTCCTCTGCACTGTTGCAGAGGCTACAGATAAGAGCAGTTAGTAGGTGCTCAGTAAGTACTTGTTAAGAGGGCAGAGTGACTATATATAGTTTAACGTATGAGGTAATTTCTCAGGTATAAGAAGGTCTGTGAAGAACATCAAAAGGGCAGCTACTATTATGGGGAAGGGGCTGGGAAGGCCTTCCCGAAAGGTGGCATTTGAGCAGAGGCCTGCAGGAAGTAAGCAACCAGCCAGTGTGGTTGCTGGGCCCTGGAAAACTTAGTATGAACCAGAAAGGTGGCCCTAAACCTACAGCTGAG